TCTCCCCCTCCGAATCCCCCCCTTCATTTTTCCCTTCCTACGATCTTCTTCTTTTTTTTTTTTAACATACAATGTATTATTTGTTTCAGAGGTACAGGTCTGTGATTCAACAGTCTTACACAATTCACAGCTCTCACCATAGCACATACCCTCTCCAGTGTCTATCACCCAGCCACCCCATCCCTCCCACCCCCCACCACTCCAGCATTATTATTATTATTTTTAAAGATTTTATATTTTTGAGAGAGAGAGGCAGTGAATGCGCATGTGCACGAGCAGGGGGAGGAGCAGAGGGAGAGGGAGGGGGACAAGCAGACTCCCTGCTGAGCAGGGAGCCTGGTGTGGGGCTTGATCCCAGGACCCTGAGATCATGACCTGAGCTGAAGGCAGACGCTTAACTGAGCCACCCAGGCACCTGTTCTTTTTTTTTTTTAAGATTTTATTTATTTGTAGAGAGAGGGAGAGAGAGTGAGTACAAGCAGGGGGAGCGGCAGGCAGAGGGAGAAGCAGGCTCCTCGCCGAGCAGGGAGCCTGATGTGAGACTTGATCCCAGAACCCTGGGATCATGACCTGAGCCGAAGGCACATTCTTATCTGACTGAGCCACCCACGCGTCCCATCCCCTATTCTTTTTTTAAAAATGAACTTTGTGCTAATTCATTCACAGATTTTTGTGCCAGGGTTTTGTAAGGACCTAAACAGTTGCCTTACTGCCTTCTGTTAAATCTCAGCTATTTTCTATAAATCACAGGATTTTCTACCTGTGATGCTGGGCTAATAGTAGGTACCATATGAATACTTAAGGATTCCATATATAGGGACTCTTTATGTTATAATATTTAAACTTGTTAGACTTTTGAAAGCAGTTAGTACATGCTTGCTCTCTAGTGTTTTAGTTTGGCTCTATGATTACACTAAAATACTTCTTAGAATCTATAATCTCTCAAAAATTTGAAGACCTGCAGATTCAACACAGTATCTTAGCTATTTTTAAAGTTGTTTTGGCATCAGGTTTTAATGATTATGGACATAGAAGGGGGGGAGAATTAATGAATATAAATGCATCATTTTTGGGGAAATTAGGGGATGATGAGCAGGAAAATTGGAGATTTATTAGATGATTTTTAAGTATTTATTTATTTTGAGAGAGAGTGAACAGGGGTAGGGGGCAGAGACAGAGGAGGAGAGAGAGCCCCAAGCAGACTCCCCTGACCCCTTCAGTCAGCCCGGAGCCTGACGCAGGGCCTGATCCATGATCCTGAGACATGACCCCAGTGGAAATCAAGACCTGGATACTCAACTGACTGAGCCACCTGGGCACCCCTATCAGATGATTTTTAAAGTAATGGCAGGGAGAGGTGATGAATACCCTGGACTTAGAGTGTAGGGAGAAGAATTGAAATTTATATGAAGCTATTAAAACATTCTTCAGTAGTGGATGGTTAATTGGGGGTGTGTACAACAGTATAAAAATTAATTGTGACTGTTATTTTATGGTCCTTTTGGTTGTAAAGCTATTTTGGGCAGCCCATAATTAAGAATGGAGATTGGAGTAAGAGAATGGCTCAAATACACCATTGACACGGAAGCAGGTGGACACTCATAATTACAGAGACTTAGAGAAGAGAGCCTTTGAGGACAACCCCAGTTAGGTATTGAGGAGAAGGAGGGTCCAGGGGGTGTTGTGCAATATTCTTGTAATTGGATCAGACTTTCTTTAGCTGGTAAATTTATGTGGGAGGACAGAGAGAAGGCTAGCAGCCATGAGGGAGAGGTAGAGGGGGTGAGCGAGCATTGGGGCAGAACTGCTACTTGTAAGAGATACAGAACTTGATACTTTCCAGTCTGTAACTTGAACAATAATTATGAAGTATTGAGGCAGTGGTATCTAAATGGTTTAGACTGGTCGAAGAGAATCTTCCTTACTACCATTAATAATGACAAACTCAAATCATAGAAAACTACATGAGTTTTAAGATTCTGACTTCTAATTTTATAGTAAAGATTTTTGTTGGATACTGTCAACTAAAAAATTTCATTCATTAGCAATTATAATTTTACTTATATTGTATAACAATAAACTTGATAGTGGTCCTAAGGTTCTACTAAGTTTTATTTTCTTGAGCAATAAATATTTGGAAAATTTCAATTTACATATGGTAGTTTTCTTAATCAGGATTTTGGTTCATCACAACACTCTTATCTAACTACATTCTGTCTTACTGATTTAATGAGATTTAAATTTCGATCCATGTTGAAATAAATGCAGTGCGTTTTGAAAATCAATTCTTTTCAAAATAACTAAGTTTCTATTTTTTTATATTTTCTAATAAATTAATGAAACATTTTATTGGAGATAAAAAAATTAATACCTTAACCATTTTTACAGATGAACAAGAAGACGAAGATGCCATAGTCAACAGGATTTCGTATGTATTTTAAAATTCATTTGTTCTGTTTCTAATTTTGATGACATAAATTCTTCAAATTTAATTTGCACCTTTGGGCATAAATGTGGAAAAAATTCACCTGAAGTATTACAATGCTTTTATTGATATTAACCCTATCCTTAGAAACACATACAAACAAACACCCAGTTGACTCTTGAACACCGTGGGGGTTAGGAATGCTGGCCCTGTGCAGTTGGAAATTGTGTATAATTTTTGACTTATCCAAAACTTAACTACTAATAGCCTACTATTGACTGGAAGTCTTACTGATAACATAAACAGTTGATTAACACATATTTTATATGTTATGTGTATTATATACTGTATTCTCACAATAAAGTAGCTAGAGGAAAGAAAACACTATTAAGAAAATCACAAGGGAGAGAAAATACATTTATATTACTGTACTATATTTATTAAAAAAAATTCACTTATATGTGAACCTGTGCATTTCTAAGCCATATTGTTCAAGGATCAACTGTACATGGAAAAATGAGGATTGATTGTCTCCTCTTAAAATTTGCTTGTTTGAGGAGCTGACAATTTTACCTTCAGAGGTTTTAACCAGGAAGTGGGCTATGGTTGGGAAAGTTGCTGGGCCATAAGAAAGAAAACTCTTGGCTGTTTAATGGTCTGCTGAGAAGACTGACACTCTTGGAATAGGGAACAGACGTCTCTTCTAGTTAATTGAACATCTACCTGCTGTGAGCAGGGAGACGGACTCAGATGGTTCTTTAGGTTCCCGATAGCTCTCTTTCTGCTTATATATACTGATATATGATTGATGTACCCTCTAATTTTTTTTTTTTTGAGGTATCAAATGGATGGGAAGCAGTGAGTTTCTATCAGATTTTGCTTGACTAAAATTTGAAATCATACAGATATAACTACATTGGAGAGATTCTTATTCCAGAATTCTTTTATTTTGATTCTTGAAAAATTTTTGGCATAGTCCTGAATTTAGAGAAAAGTCAGAAATATAACAAAAAAGAGCGTTTTTGCCCCAGAACTGTTTGAGAAGTTGCTGACCTGGTTCTCCATTTCCTCAGGATACTTTTGTATATAATGCCTATAAACAGTGCATTCTCCTGTGTATCTACCATATAAACATCAAGATAATGAAACTGATGCTGTACCACTCCTGCCCCATTCAGATTTACCAGTTGTCCCATTCATGTCCTTTGTTGCAAAAAAGATCCCATTCAGAATCACACACTGCTCGTAGTTGTCATGTCCCTTTAGTTGCCTTCAGACTGAAACCCTTCTTCAGTATTTTCTTGACTTCCCTAACCTTGATACTTCTGAAGATTACAGGCCAGTTATTTGGATTTGTTTCTTCACGATTAGTATCAGATTATTCATCTTTTGCCTGGGGTGGGGTGGAGGTGTGGGAAAGGGGGAAAGGCTGTCTGCACTTATGCACCCATTCACGGATACTCTCACGTACCCTGGGATATTACTCAGCCATAAAAAGGGATGAGGTACTGACACATATTACAACATGTAGGAACCTTGAAATCATCATGCTAAGTGAAAGAAGCCAGACATGAAAGGCCATGTAGTGTATGATTCCATTTATGAGAAATATCCAGAATAGGTAAATCCATCAATGTCATATTGATGGTTACCAGGGACTGAGGGGAGGGCAGAATGGGGAGCAACTGCTTAATGAATACAAGGTTTTATTTTGGGGTGATGAAATGTTCTGGAACTCGAAAGTGGTGGTGTTTGCACAACAGGCCAGAACACATCACTTAGACTTTACCTTGCAGTGTATTCTATGAAACGGTGGCTGTGCCTTGTTTCCTTGTGAGGAGGCTCAGGAGCCCTGACCTCCCCTTCTGCTTTCATCAGTTCTGCTGCCGTCACTGTTGCGGCGGGTCTGAGGCCTTTGGGTTATCCTGGCAGGTGGTTCCTGCATCATGTGACTGGAGTTGACATCCCTCTCCTGCAGGCAGACGGGTATACTTACAATAAAGACAGGAGAGGGAGCGGGGAGGCGGGGGGAGGGCACCTGAGAGAATCAGGGCTAGTCTGTTCCCTTCCCCCTCGCCCAGTGATCCCTTTGGCTTTCACTGCCTTTTTTCCCCCTTGTGTGATAGAATGAGTGAGAATGGAAGAGGAAGGTAGATCTGGGTTCAAATTCCAAACTCAAGATTAACTTGAGATCAGAAGAGCTTGAGAAACAAAGATTTGTTTTCTCCGTATGTGAAGGAGAGCTGCCACTTACTCTGTCGTGCTGTTTTGTGGATTAAATCACATCTGCAAAATAATCCAGGATTGGTGCTGGTGTACAGTACGTAGGAATTTGGGATTGCCTCCCTTCTCTCCACCATCTTTCCTTGCCTTGCCCCCTCCACCGAAGAGGAGGAAATGGAAGGAGAGTCCTGCTGAACAAGGAGAAAAAAGAGGAAGAGCTCAGACAAGTTCTTAAGTGTAATGATTGGCAGCACTACCTGGCTGCTTGAAACAAGGATCTCCACAGCTGGCTTAGCACCCATGTCAAAATGGAAAGCCTGTTCCTTGGCTGTTCTCACCTCCCGTTAGACCCACGTTTGCTTTCTCCTTTGCTCCTTTTTTCTTTTCTCTGTTTGTATCTACTTGTGCCCCCAAATTAACTTTGCAACCAAAAACTACATTTTATGAGAGCTACTGTTGGCTAGTTAGTTGATTTGATTTGGATTTAAGTTATTGATATAAAAATGGAATGCTTTTGGGAGCCCTTGCAGGTGAGAGGAGAGTCTCCATTGCAGGAGGTAGGCCTGGCATGAGGTGTCAGAGCCCGGGGGTGACCTGGTGTGGGCTCTCAGGGTCCAAGAGCAGGGAGGGAATTTTCCCTCCTTGGTGGAGTGTCAGCTTGAGGGGTGATGAGGGGCACCCGCATGTGTTCAGGGGTGCTCTGTTACAGGGAGTCACAGGTTGGGGAGGGCATCCAGGCAGGATGACAGAGCCCAAGTAGGCTGAGGAGGGTGTCCCCAGAGGGATGGCCTGGCATAGGTATGAGAGGTCAGTGGGGAGGGAGGTAGGACAGTCCAGAATGGGGAGTCACCTGAGCAGGAGGGCGCCTCTGCATAGGGTGGGATGTCAGATCATTTCCAGGGGATTGGTCCATTAAAGGTGATGGGAGCCATTTTGCAGTTAGGGGAAAGGGAGAAAAACGAAAATGAACAGGGTTGTTGCATTGCAGTTGGACTTGCAAGTGAACTATCAGTGTGGACTCACGGTTTTCAATACAGAGTTATTGCACCAGATCTAGATGTAAAGGTGGGTGCATGTAAGTGTGTATATGTACATGTATGCATAGTGCATACTTGCATTCCTTGCCTGTCCATTGGGAGCATGACACCCCGGGAGCAGGGAGTATATTTAGCACTAGACCTGTGCTTCTGTTATTATTATTTTTTTTTCTTCTTATGTTAATCGCCATACATTACATCATTAGTTCTAGATGAAGTGTTCCATGATTCATTGTTTGTGCACAACACCCAGTGCTCCATGCAGAACGTGCCCTCCTCAGTACCCACCACCAGGCCAACCCATCCTCCCACCCCCCTCCCCTCTAGACCTGTGCTTCTAAATACAACTTTCCACTAATAGGAACCAGGGCTCCTTGGGGGAGAAGCTGACTGCAGGGGTAGGAGAGGGGAAGTTCCAGGCTCATTTTGTACATACGGTACTGCCAGAATACAAGGAAGTGCTCCAAGAACGATGGGGTGCAAGTCTAAAAGACCCAGAAGCCTTCAAGGGCTTTCACATCAATCAGGGACAATCTGAGTGTCCAGAGAATGATTGTAATGGATCCTACACAGAATAAAATAGAACAATCTTGAGTCCATACTGACAGGAATCAGTAAATGAATAAACTTTTTGGCAAGGAACAGGGTATTTTTCCTAGTTTCAAACTTAGCTTCCCACAAAATACTTACTAATTAAAAGTGGAAAAGAGTGATGTTAGAGTCAGAGAGACCTGGCAGACACCATCCTGCCCAGTGGTCAGTCAGAACGTAACCAGCAACGGGGCAGACAGAAGTTCTAGGCCACCTGGTAGCCTGCAGAGAGAAGTGTGAAGCATTGCCTCTGTGATGCTCGTGGACATGACAGACGAGGCTGGGCCAAAGCTGAGTTCCATATTTCCCCGCCGGCCTGCTCCAGCTGCGGCCTTCTCCATCACAGGCGATACCAGCTCTACCATTCCCATTCTCAGGCTAAAAACTCAGAGTCAGCCTTGAGCCCTCTCTGCTCCCACCCCCAGGAAGTCCTGTGGGTTCTGTCCTCAGAATCTGCTCCATTTCAGAAGGTGACGTTTGTGAAACGGTACTTTAATCTGAGGGGCACTTCAATAGGTCTGTAAGCTATGACCACTACTGCTCTTTTTCGACCTGGCCTTACCTTAGGGACCCCTTGCCAGCATTGACCTGCACTGCATTGACCTTTTCTGAGTAGCTCTCGTCCTAGGTGCTCACAGGCAGGGTGAGAGGGTGGCAGCGGCCTGTCTATATCCAGAGCCCAGTCACAGTACCTGCAATGCAGTAGATTCTGCAAGTGTTTGTTGAGAGTTGGCATTATAGTTAGGCTTTTCTGGATCATTCATGATTTCAAATACTTTACCTATTTGCCCTCATAAGCTTAGTTTTTTGTCAGATTACAGGTCCCGGTTTTTGATGTGGAAACTCTGGTTGGTCTTCCTGCTGGTTATGTGGTCAGTGTCATGTGAGCTGAGAGGAGAGGGATTGACTCTTGAGAGGAGTGTGGAGAGTGGTGCTGAGGCTGCTTCACAGGGCAAATGACATAAAGGGACCCTAGGGACAGCGCTGACTGTGCCCCAGAGCACAGAGCCATGAAACGCATTGAGGTTTGGTGTACGAGAAGGCTGGGTACATCACACTGTATGTGGGAGTCTGTCGTGGCAAGAGGAGCCTAACACACATACTGGAATAGCTGTGCAGGACCTGGAATGGTGAACTTGTGGATTTGATCCTATTTTTAGCATTGGAAGGAAGCAGTGGTAGTGATTGGGATAACTTCCTCCCTTGACTTGCAAGGACAGAACAGAGAAGCACGCTTCGGGCCACTGGCCGGTAGTTGCCGGAGTTGGCGGTGTACCTGGGTGGACATTTTTCCTAGTGCTTTTCCCAGGAAACGTGCCCGCTCAGCAAAACAGCTTCTAAGCCTTCTTCTGTGTCTGATTTGGTATTTTTGGTATGTATGATATGGTCTACATTTAAACATTATCAATGATTTACTGAACAGAGGTTTCATGGTTGTTTTGGCTTTTAAGTAGGAAAACATTTCTGTTGGTTGCCACAAGATGGCATTGGTCTCAAAGTTACTCTAGTGGATGTGTATTTCGAGTGTTTATTGTGTTTTTTTTTTTCTTTCTTATGTGTTACATTTATTTTCACATTCTTCCTATATTGACTTTAATGGGATGGATATTAAATTAAGATTCCATCTCTAATGTTGGTGAGGTTTTCTTTTCCTTTGCCTTTTTAGTCTTAAAAAAATCTTTTAAAAAATTAGATACAAAATTTTAAACATTTCAGACATATATAACTGAGAAAGTGAAAGCCCCTTAGAATTCCACTCTCCTGGGGGTTTGTTATATATTATGCTAGGTTTTTTTTTTTTTGTGTGTGTGTGTGTGTGTACCTCTATTTTCCTGTGTGTATAAATGCATTTTTTTTTGGAGGGGGGAGCATGTTTTCTATTTATTGTCCGTGCCTTTTCAGTTTTTTTAACTTAATTTATCTTAGACATTTCTCTGTATCAGTATTTATTAGCAATATCTTATTTTTAAAAATGACAAAATAGTGTTTTAAATACTGTTTAATAGTAGAATATTGTTTAATAGTTCTCTACTGTTTCCTAGTATAATTTATTTTGCCTTTACCCGTTTTAAGAGGTAGCTGACCAATGGCTTTGTTAAGTTTTTTTCTTTTGAAATAACCATTTTGAATTGATTTCTTTTTCATATTGTTTTCACAAGTTTTTTTTTTTTTCACCTGAATCAGTTTTTGCATTGCTGTTAGGATGTATTTGCCAAAGTAGTTAATTAAATGCAATTGTGAAATAAATATTTAAATTTAAAAGAGGAAAGAGACTATGGCTTATTCTTTGTAAAATGTGCAAAGTACTCTGTCTTCTGTATGTGATTCTTCTAGGGCCTGCTTGTTCAAGTTAATGACCTTTTTCACAGAGCGAGGAGTTTTAGAGTATACCTAATTGAACTTCTAGTATCATATATATATCATTTGTCTCCCAACTGCACATATTTAATGAAAATCTTATGTAACTTTTTTGGATTAAAAGATTTAAGAGTTTTTATCCTTTTTGAATTCCTACCGTATTCCTTGCTTTTTCCAATTGCTGGTGACAGTGATCTCTTCTCTTCCAGGTTGTTTTTGAGCACGTTCACTCTGGCAGTTTCAGCTGGGGCTGTTTTGCTTTTACCCTTTTCAATAATCAGCAATGAAATCCTGCTTTCTTTTCCTCAAAACTACTATATTCAATGGCTAAATGGCTCCCTGATTCATGGTTAGTATATACTGCTCAATATAATCACAGTGAATGTTTTTGTTTTTTACTGCACTGTATTTTTAGATTTGCCTTTTCTTAATTTCCTTCATAATTTGCATCTTCCTCCAATAAACCATGAGTCCTTCATAAAATCAGAAAACCAGATTTTACTTACTATTCCTATTCTTAGTTGTGAAAGGCTTTTCTGTTTTACTTAATCAAGAAGCAGTCTTTATACTTAATGATTTTGATAAATAGGTTCTCATTTAAATATTTAGCAAGAGAATTTTGGTTTATCTGGATATGTCAAAAGAACTCAGCCTCCATTTAAGACCTAAAAATACTAGCCATAGTTTTCTACTTAATTTATTTTCTGTTACTTCTGTTATTTAAGAATGTATAATTGAAGGGGAAAAAACTCTTCTGTCAAGTACAAACTTTAGAATTAATGTGGTTAAAAAAGTGACTTACTTACTGTGGGCAACATGATATGTTGCTTTGGAGGCCAATTAGACCTGCATTCCAATCTTGACTCTGCCATTTTCTAGAAATTTTTAGTGAGGTGTACGACATTTTAATTTTAATTTATGAAATATATTACAAGATCTAATACATAGATCTTTTTTATATGTTCCATTGTCCTTCCCCCTTTTATTCTTTTTGAATTGTGGTATCTTTATATGGAAAACACATCAGCTTTTTATTACATTTTTGTAAATATGTTCTAGTTATTTTTCTTTTTAACTTTATTTGCTTTTTTATTGACAGAATTTTTAACATTTGTATATTGTCCAGTGTCCAGTCTTTTTTCTTCCTTTGGTTTCTCTAATTGTTTTGTGTTTAGAAGATCCTTTCCCTTCCTGATATGTGACAAATACTCTCTTTTTCCCCCTCATTTTCTAAAGATGATTTTTTTTGTGTGCATAACTCTTTTTAATTCATCTGGAATTTATACAGACAGCTACCTTTTTTCTCACTCCTTTGTGTTTAAAGAAATACTACGTTTGCTGTAGAATATTTGGAAAACAATATATGGTGAAGAAAATTAATGTTACCCACAATCCTACAACCCACAGAGCTATTGTGAATACCGTGTAATCTTCAGTAAGGTGTCTTCCTGTGAACGCATAACCAGATGGAAACCTTCAGGGACTCACTGATGATTTATGTTTTCCTAAATCAACATATAAGTGGGAGGTTTCCATGCCATTAACTACTTTTCTGTGCAATTTATAGTAGTGCCTGGAGCTGTTATAAGCATGGATTGTTCCCAATTTTTTTTTAACTAAAAAAGTTCCAGTGTACATCTTTACAAATATTTGTCCTTAGGATAAATTTCTGCAATTCACTTTCCAGGTAAGCACACTTTAAAAGTTTAGAGAAGATGTTTCCTGATTCCGAAAAGCTGTGTGAATTCCACTAGTGGTTTCACTTTCGCTGAGGGCATCCTCTTCCCACAATGCATCTTCGTCAACTGTGGGTGGTACTTAAAACCTGCCAATTCAAGGAGTGCTTGGGTGGCACAGTCAGTTAAGTGTCCAACTCTTGGTTTCTGCTCAGGGTCATGAGATTGAGTCCTGCATCGGGTTCCATGCTCAGGGCAGTCTACTTGGATTCTCTCTCTCTGCCCACCACCCCACCCCCGCAATAAATCTTAAAAAAAAAAAAAAAGTTCCAGTTCAGAAACATGAAGCATCTCCCCTCTTAAATGTACATTTCTTTAATTACTAGTAAGGATAGACATTTACAAAACATACTCAGAGGTCATTCATAGTTATTTTTTAGTAAATTGCCTACCTATGTTTCCTTTGCCCATTTTTACAGTGTTTCCCCCTCCTTTTTTTTTTTTTAATTAAATTTTTAATTCCTGTTAGTTAACATACAGTGTAATATTAGTTTCAGGTGTACAGTGTAGTCATTCAACACTCCATACACTACCCGGTGCTCATCACAAGTGCTCTCCTTAATCCCCATCACCTATTTCATTCATCTCCCAACCACTCCCTCCCCTCTGGTAACCAACAGTTTGTTCTCTACAGTGAAGAGTCTGTTTCCTGGCTTGCCCCTCTCTCTTTTGTCCGTTTGCTCGTTTGTTTTGTTTCTTAAATTCCACATATGAGTGAAATCATAGGGTATTTGTCTTTCTTTGACTGACTTATTTCTCCTGCATTATACTCTCACTCCATCCATGTTGTTGCAAATGGCAAGATTTCATTCCTTTTTACACTTGCAGTGTTTTTTTTTTTAAGTAATTAGTTGTCTATCAGAGGTTAATTGAAAACATTTTCCTCCCATTTGTCCTTTAATACTGCTTAAACTGTTTTGTTTTTTTTTTTTAAAGATTTTATTTATTTATTAGAGAGAGAGAGAGATAGAGCACAAGCAGGGGGAGCGGCAGAGGGAGAGGGAGAAGCTGACTCCCCGCTGAGCAGGGAGCCCCATGCGGGGCTAGATCCCAGGACCCTGGGATCATGACATGAGCCAAAGGCAGGTGCGTAACCAACTAAGCCACCCAGGTGCCCTGCCTTTCTCCTTCTTTGGTTAGGAATTTCCTTCTGTTCCCACCAGATATAGGGACAATAGAGGCATCATGACAGCTTGCTTTCATTTCACTCATCTCTGGGTTGCTTTCTGTTGAAGATGCACTCATTTAGGGGAGGAGCATTTGCTCCTAGTCTCACTTTTGGAACTAGAAAAATAGTCTAACCCATTCTGTGAGTTTTCCAATCCGTTATAGTTGTATTTTTATTTTTCTAATAGGTGGCTTTTATATTTAAATTAGTAATACTTATATTTGTTTTTGTAATTGTTAGCTTTATTTCCATTCTTAAATGAATCGCTTTCCATTAGTCTTTTCATTTTATGCCATGCATTTTGGTTTCTTAATTTCCTTTTTTTCATTACCTCTCATGCCTTCTCATCTTCTGCTTCTGCATGAACTTTCTGGAATTCCTGACACTTTTGTTCTCTAACTTCAAATACTAAGTTTAAAAATCTGTAAACATTCTTTAAGCATAACCTTTTCTTCTTCCACATTCCTTGGTCTCCTGCAGTTCTACTGGGAGCCTCAGTTGATAGACATCTCCACTTATCCATCACTCTGTACTTGGTTTCTTTCCCCACGCCCCCCCCCAATCTACTTAGGATTTATGGCCATTCATTTCATTCACTTTTTTTTTTTTAAAGATTTTATTTATGTTTTAGAGAGAGAGCACGAGAGAGCGAACACAAGCAAGGGGGCAGGTGGGACAGAGGGAGAGGGAGAAGCAGACTCCCTTATGAGCAGGGAGCCTGACACAGGGCTTAATCCCAGGGGATTGCAACCTGAGCCGAAGGGAAACACCCAACCGACTGAGCCACCCAGGCACCCTTTACTTACTTTTGCTAATACCCTAATCCAGTGGTTTTCACACTGTTGTCCAGGGATTTCTGGGGTTGATGGTTAAAACCCTGGGAGCAGATTAGGTTACCTGTGAAGAGTTTATGGATTGAGAATAGATTTCTGGCTCAGCCCTGAAATCATAGAGAAGAGTAATAGTGTGGTGTGTTTTGTTTTGTTTGTTTTAGAAGAATAATGTTTAAAGGCTGGGAGGAAAAGGGAAGCTAGTGATGGAAACTGGGTGAATAATCAGAGAAGGAGGATGATTGCTGAAATAGGAGGGGCTGCTCAGAGATCAGGTGAAATTGTGAGAGTGGAATTCGGCTGCTAGGTCTTGACTGACCACTGCCAGAGCACTTGGAGTTGGTCAGTGGACATGAAGTCAGATATGTGATTGGAGGAGTGAGTGAGTGGTACCCAGCACAAGTCTGCAAGTGTAGGCTGTACAGGGGAGGAGAGAATAGGGTAGTTGTTAGAATCCTCAAACCTCTGCTTGGTTTACCTGCAGCTTCCCCAGCACCTAAGAGCTAGGCCGTTGTGTTGTAGAGCAGTAGTGGGCCTCCTGCCTGGCTCGGAGGTTCAGCTTGGGCTTGCCTGGAGCTGTGAAGTCCATTTCATCTTGCTGTGGCTCTCACGATTCCCTCATATTCTCTACTCCATTTACGGTATCCTCCTCCTGTGTGAATTCTGTCTCCATGTGTAACTCTTATTTGAGGAACTTGGCTTCTATTTTACTAAGAAAATAGAAACCATCTAAAGGGAATGTTTTTGTGCTTTTACCACACATCTGCTTACCTAGCTGCAGTGGGACTCGAATGTTCTGTCCTCTTCTGCTCCTCCTCCTTCTGACTAGGGATACACTTATTTCTAGCTCCTCACCTTGAACACATTGCTTTAGCACTTCTCCTTTTTCTTTCTTGCATCAATAATTTTTCTCTCTACCTGATTATTATTGCAACTATGTAACTTTTCTCATCTTAAAAAAAAAAAAAGCCCTCTTCATAGTTCCCATCACATTTCTTTTGCTTCCCTTTACCATAAAATTACTGGAAAGAACTGTCTATGTACATTTTATTTTCAGTTCTTCTTCTGTCTTAATTTACTTCAGTCAGGGTTTTACGTTCAGCGCTTCAGAAAAACAGCTCTGGTCAAGGTCACCAGTGACCTCCATGTTGCTAAATTCAGTTGTCAATTCTCAGTGCTCATCTTACTTGGCCTGTCAGCAGCATTTGACACGGCTGATAATTCCCTTTTCCTACATGAACTTTCTTCATTTGACTTTTGGGACATCACAGTCTGTTTGCCTCCTACCCGCTGACTGCTGCTTCTCAGTTAGCTCTTCCTGGTTCCTTCTGTCAAGTTGACTTCTAAATATTTGAGAGCTCCGGGGCTTGGTTCTCAGACTTCTCTGGCTGTACTCACTCCCTGGGTTGGAAATCTCATCTGGTCTCAGGCCTTTAGCTATCTATCTGCTTATGTCCTCCCTGCTCCTCACCTTAAAAAAAAATTCTAGCCAGTCTCCTTTCCTTGGACTGTACAGATTTTTATATCCAACAGCTCATCCACCCTCTCCACCTGAGTGAATAATAAGTATTTCACATTCAGCAGTGTAAACTGTACTTTGTATTTCCAGCACAAA